ATTTATCCCATGGCTTTGAACCCCAACACCATCTGGCCACCCTTGCGTTCACCTAGGGGAGAAGGGGCCCATTTTCAAAAGCAATGGGTCAAGCAGAAATGCAGCATTTTCACCCTCCACTCGTTGCCCTTCCTAGGGAAGGCCATCCTTACATAGGAACTTTCACAGACACTGGATCTGGAAGACCTCCACTGCTGGCAGAGGCTGTTGACAGGGTCACCTCTTTCTCCCAGGCCTTGCTCCAGGGGTGAGAGGCTGAGCACTGGTGAGGGGCCCCTGTGGAACCCACAGAGAAGCCCCCCATTCTCTCATCTCAAGGTATGTACAGTTTGTCACCAGGGCCTAAAAAGGAGCCCAGCTCCTGCCCAGCCCGTTCTGAGACCATCCAGGCTTCCATCCAGGCATGCGAGCTCCTCCTCCACTCACGTCTGGGTTCTCCCCCCACCCCTAGGCTCCACGGGCCTCAGGACAGGACAGTCACACCTACACAACAGAAACTGCAGGACAGCACTCTACAGACAACAGCCCTGAGGCTCACAGAGAGACTATACTTGCCCCAAGTCTCACAGTTCCTCATTGGCAAGCTGGCTACATCTCTCGTAACGGACACTTTCCTGTGCAGCACCTGCATCCTGCTAACAGAAAACAAGCTCCCCAGGGACAGGGCCTGCGCTTTCTGTGTCCCTGGCACTAGGCTGGGCCTCAGAGGTGCTCTCGAGTGTTTGCTGAGTTTAATCACTATCATTAAGGTCCTAAAGACCTATCTCCCTGCCTGTTGGCTGACTTCTGGGGACTCTGACTTCTCAAACTGCCCTTCCCACCCATGCCAGGCCGAGGGCTTAGCAGAAACCTGTGAGTCCCACGGCTGCTGTGGGAGAAGGGAGGAGCTGTGGGTGATGCCACAGCCACATGGCCAGCATTTGTTTAGGTCACTGAACCAGGCTGGAAGGCCTTCCCTTCTTCCCTCAACTTTCAGCGAGGACCAAGCCGGAAACTCCCATTTAGCAGATCATGGAAAAAGGTCTACAGCAGTAGTTCTCAACCCTGGCTTCCAGCAGGAGGGCTTTGAAAACGTACAGGTGCCTGGGGCCCTACTCCAAAGCATTCAAGTCAGAATTCTTGACAATGGTATGGGATAAGGGTCTGATATTGGTATTTTAATAATCCCTGGTCTGTGATCTCCATCAGGCTCTCAGAGGTATGACCCACAAAGTTACATTCATGCTATTTAGTGAGACAGGCCAGGCCAGAAACCCAAGGCCTATAGCGGCTCCCCCGGGCTAGGATAATCCCGTCCTCTCCTTCAGGACGGGCCTGGCCAACTTAAGCACCAAGGGATAGAGCTCAGCTTTGCTGGGATCCCACTGGCAAGCAGAGCAGAGGAAGGCAGCAGCCTGTGTTCCTGGGGTCAGCCCCACCTTTTCCCTCCACTGCCAAACGGATCCTGGGGCCAACTTCAGACTAAGTGTACTGCCACCAAAACTACTAAACCAGCCTCCCAGGAATCCCAGGGCCTGTTCTTTCAGCCCCAAGTACTGAGGCCTGCAGTCCCCTCTCAATCAGGCTGAGGAAGCCACCCACTGGTTAAGGGCCAGAAAGAGAAGCTGGGCCTCAAGGCCTCGGCCCTGTCCAGGGTCCTGACTCCTGGTCAGATCATTCTGTTCCAGCCTGGGGCCTCTCCCTCTGGTGTGTAGGGCGCCCCTTGATTTGCACCCTCAGAGTGCACGTATCATCTCAGGGGCAGCCCTGCCAGTCTCGTCTAAACCCTTCCCTAAACCATTCCCTGCGTTTTCCAGAACTGGTGGCTTCTCTATGCGCCAGTGCTGCTGTCATGCTAAATACTCCTGACGCTCAAATCCCCATTCATCACTGTCCATCTTCAAAGATGAGGAGACGAAGAAACCTCCCAGTCCCGTGGCTCTGCATGCGGCTACCGGGAAGGGACTCCTGCACCACACACATCAGCTTGCTTCCCAGGTGAAGCTGGGAACTTGAGCCAGACTGGGAGCAGACCGTGTGAACAGCCTGAAAACCATCCCCCAGGCTTCTTACTCTGGGACCGAGCGGGAGGGACTCCAGGAGCCCTTTCACCAGGGTGTCGGAAGCCCTCAGCCCCCAGCACTAGAAGATTAGGAAGGCCTTTCTCTCCAGCCCGTTCACAGAGAGAGAAGGGACAGCCAGTGAAGAGATTTAGTGCGAGCATTATCTGCCGCCAAATCCTCGCTTTCATCTCCGCCTTCTCATGAGCCAAATCATTTGGAAGCTTTCATCGATAGTTTCCTCTCTGCCCCACGAAAACTTGGAATTTATGCCGGCTTATGGCTCAGTCTCCTCGCTTAGGGGACGAGGGAAATCTCGCAGGCTGCTCTCCCCCTGCTGTGGGAGGAAAAGCTTGTCCTTGGCGACAGTTCAAGACAGGGAAGACTTCCTCAGCTCTCCAGGAGCCTAGGACTTGAGGGCGTCAGAGGCCCCCCTGCCCTCGCAGAGGCTTCTGGGCTTGAACCCAGGGCTGTGCACAGCCCGTCCCCATTCAGCACCCATGCAATGGTTCGATTCTATTTTTAGGTGAAGAAAGGTTCAAAGGCCCTGCACAGGAAAATCCAAGAGGGAGGGGAATTCTCAGCACCATGCAAATCACACTTTCCCCTCAGCCTCTACTTGACACCTGTTTCCCCTAGCCGGCAGCCTATCCTGGGTATTGATAGCAGCCAGGTCCCCAGGATCTCCGCCCAGGGCAGAGGCCCCTCCTCCTCCTGCTGCTTAAAGTGAGAGCTAGGGGAAGGAACTAAGCCAGCCCCAGGGGCTCCCCAGAACTTCCCCTCCATTCTCCAATCTGAATAGCCCACGAACACAATGAGGAGGTGAGATTCTCAGAGGCGGGTTCCTCAGCTTCAAAACAGCAGGGTGACTACTGCCTTTCAGGACATGCTGCTGCTGCTAAGTCACTTCAGTCATGTCCAACTCTGTGCGACCCCATAGACGGCAGCCCACCAGGCTCCCCCGTCCCTGGGATTCTCCAGGCAGGAACACTGGAGTGGGTTGCCATTTCCTTCTCCAGCCTTTCAGGACCAGGGAGACACAAAAGGTGGCTAGGGTTTTACTAATCCAGCCCAAGTAGTAACTGGGAGCCCTTGCAGCTCTCAAGATGAGGGTGTGGGCAGAGGAGTGGTCCCATGGACTCCCAGGGCCCTATCACACTCTGCCTCCTACTTCCCAGTGCACAAGAACGCAGCCTGTCCACCCAGTGAGCAGGGCTACTGTTAGTCACTCAGATGTGTCCGACTCCTTGCAACCCCATGCACTGAAGCCCCCCAGGCTCATGTCCATGGAATTCCCCAGGCAAGAATACTAGAGTGGGTTGCCATTTCCCTCTCCAGGGGATCTTCCCCACCCAGGGATGGAACCCTATTAAGAGACTCAAGAACAACATCCTCCCATGCCCACCTCACTCCCAGCTTTTATTCCAGTCCTTACTGCATTCCTGGAGATTTCGCCTTCCGTCTCTACCCCTCCACTGTGGGGCCAAGGGAGGACAGTTGGTTAGGGGGTCAGAACAGGAGGCTTCAGAACTCAAAACGGTGTCCCCACCTCTAATTCCCACAAAAGATGAGTCCCAGGGTAGGCCAGCTGCGCGGGGAGTCCTTTTTCAAATGCAAGGTTCTCTGGAAAACACCCCTAGGGACTGGCTAAGGACAGCACCTCCTGGATCACCACTGCTGCAAGGAGGGGAAAAGAGGCTGCCAGGCTCAGAACAAAGATATCTTCCTTCAGTCCCGGCCAGGGCCAAGTGCTTTGCCCTAGAATTCTGAGCCTTCACACTGGTGCTGTTGGCCCCAAGAACTTCACACCTTGACTATATATATAACCTCAGTGTCCTTACTATAACAGGAGGGTTAAAAAAAGTAAAGTGTCCAGCCCGTGTGTGTGTGCTAAGTCGCTCAGTCGTGTCCGACTCTTTGTGACCCTATGGACTGTAGCCCGCCAGGCTCCTTTATCCACGGAATTCTCCAGGTAAGAATACTGGAGTGGGTGCCATGCCCTCCTCCAGGGGATCTTCCTGACCATCGGATCAAACCTGCGTCTCCTGCACTCCTGCATTACAGGTAGATTCTTTACCGCTGAGCCACCGGGGAAGCCCTGTGGGCTGCAGAACAATGTCTCTCTCAAAGGTCAGACTCAAAACCACCCCACTGGGGACTCAGGGCTCTTGCAGCCTCATCTGTTCCGAAGGTCTCTTCTTTGCCCACTATAATGCATTAAAGACCTAAGAGGGAGCAATGAGGCTCTAGGATGTTATTTTCAGGGGCTACAGGAGGCAGGGCCCCATGTCCATTCGTCTACCGACTTCCAAAACTCTCTACAGCTCCAGATGTCATAAATGTCTCTACCTGTCCCAAAAGATAGGGTCAAAGCACGGAAGGAATAAAGTGCAGATGCACCTGAAATGGGCATAATAAAGAGTGGATGACCTAACTGGATGACTCTGAAGACGCCATCCTTCTTCAGCGAATCCTGTCACTCTTGGTTCAGCCTCCAAAATGTCCCATATCCTACTGCTTCTTACTCCACTGCAATCACCCAGCTCTAAGGCCACCATAATTTCTCTTCTGGACAAATGCTAAAGAAGCCTCCCTGCTCCCACTCTTGCCCATCACATTCCCTCCCCCTTACAGCAGTCAGTGGGACCTTTCATTAAAACATCAGAGTATGTCATTACCCTGCTTAGAATCCTTGAAAGGCTCCTCCCCTCACTCAGATCAATAGGAACATCTTTACAACAACCTGTAAGGTTATGAGAACTGGCACTCCCACCCTTTCCTCTCAATCACTTCACTCAGCCACACTGGTCTTGTTTTGCAATGACTGCGTCCTCTACCAGGAATCCTCTCTCCCCATACACCTGCACTTCCCCCACACAGTCCTCCCTCTCCACAGGTCTCTGTTCCTGTCACCCTTCCACTTCTGCTTCATCTTTCTCCAGGATACTTGTCATTACCCACCTCGGAGGGTTTCTTTTCGTTCTGCCGGGGCCAGCCCGATTTGGTGCTGCTGGGCAGTTTGGAGCATCTTGATGCAGATGTAACATGACCTGCAGAGAGAGCACAGCCCATGAGGGGCCCCTGGAAGGCCAGGAACACCACCCACCCATGTCCAAGGAAAGGAAACCTGTAAGGCAAGCTCTGGCTTGAATGTTTAGGAGGTGGAGACCTCTGTGAGCATCTGGTGGACTGTCCCTGCTCTGGGCCTCTCCAATGATGAATGGGGTCATGACACCTCCTTCACTCACCAACCAGAAGAGACTTGGAAGGTGAAAGGCAGTGGGACAAGGGCTCAGTATTAGCTTTCTGTGTGACCCAAGAGGGTTGCTCTAAAGTAGACCCACAGACTTAAGCTTGAGCCCTGGCTCAGCCACTTATTAGCTCCTCATGATGGGCAAATGACTCAGTCTGAGCCTCAGCTTGCTTTTGTATAAAATGGGGGCAGAGAGTAACTATCTTCAAAGAGTTTTTGTGAGAATTAAATGATACCATGCCTGTAAAGTCTTAGTACAGTCCCTTGCACGTGGCACTGCTTTGATACACACTACCCATTATCACTCAGGCTCTAAAGGCCCTTGTGGGACTACACTAAGAGTGGTCTCCATTCCTATGGGTCAAGGAGCATAGCCTAGGTGGGCAGTGCGGGGACTGGTGAGAAGGGAGTATGCCACAGCCCAGCCCAACTCCAGTGCAGATAAAGGGCTCAGCTGCCAGGCGCTCTCCCCTGCATGTGCCTGGGGCTTCAAGGGTTCCTTTGCCTGAAATAAAGTTAGAAGCGGAGGACACTGAGACAGGCCGCAGGCAGCATGACTGCAGTCACAGATGGCCAGATGCTGCGATCTACTGCCTCGGGGAGGAAGAGCCAGCCAGGTCAGACTCCAGAGCCAAGCTGGAGTCTGAGCAAACAGACCCCAAAGGACAGTAAAGGAAACCCGGAGGGAGAGACAGGCGAGGACTGGCTTCTCATCCTAGTGCATGTGTTCCTGAACCCTCAGGTTCCTGGGGGGTGAGAGAACTCCAGGGACTCTAAGGGGGCCTTGAGGCTCTCCCCAGTCCCAGCTGCTCACCATATATGTGAACAAGCTAAGTCTACAGCTGCAGGGCTCCAGGCTTTCACCTGAGGGCACCACTAGGTGGGAATCTTCCTGGCAGCGCATCTCTCCTACACAGGGCAGAATGGAACTCTTTACTCAGACTGGCTCACGCAGGCCTGGGTTAGTGGGGCATCTAAGAGCTGCCTTCTGGTACCAGGGACAAGCCCTCACCTAACACAAACTTTTTTGCCTCCGCATTTCAGAAGAGGCTCCCTAAGCCCCATTTTCTGTGTAAAAGTGTCCCCCTCTATCCAGCTGATACACCCAGCCCCCACACAAGTCTATCTCTGAGATTCTACTGCCAAGATCCCATGAAGGTCAGGCTCCTTCATTAATTTCTTCAGCAAACATTTACTGATCACCTATTATGTGCCCCATCTAGCTGGATATGGCAGTCAGCAAGTCATGACCTCTCTTACCAAGGGGCTTACTTTGATAAGGAAGTGGCACTTGGTTAGGAAATAACACTGATTAGGCAATTATAATGAAGAGTGACAGGTTTTTTTTGCCTGTTGTGTGGACACTTCCACAGGGCCCCGACTCAACAGCAGGGCCAAAGGGAGTGAGGTGTGTTCCCAGCAGCCCGGACCAGCACAGGCAAAGGAAGACCCAGAGTGGAGTTGATCTGTTCCAACCAGAGCAAAACACAGGGGTTGAGAGCGAGAGGGTAAAGGGGAGCAGAGCAGAGGACAGCAAGGCCCCAAAGGCCATGGTGGTGTGGGGGCTCTCAGAGGAGCAAAGGGACCCGGGCTGCTTTATGCGTTCATCAACACGGACACTCTGGAGCAATGTCCCACTCCCCCAGTCTGGGCCTGTGGTCCTGATAATTATTCAAACACTGTCCCTGCAGGAGCCCCACGTGGAAGGCCTTACTGTCGGTGGTGTCAGAGTTGTCGCTGCTGATGGAGTACTTTCGCCTCTTCTCTTCCATCTGCAACGAAAGTAGGCCCCATTATACTCACAGGCGGCTCGGGAAATCCTCCACCTCTCAGAAAACTGCCCGTCAACCTACCTCCCCACACTCGCCCCGCTGCAGAGGAAGAATGAGAAGAAGGCCATGCCCTAAGCCTTCTCTTCAGGCAGCCTCCCCCTTCTCTCACCCACCTACATGGGCCCTGGGGCTGGGGGAGGGGGCAGCATCTCTCATCTCCTGAGCCCAGAGCCTCACACAACAGAGAACCTAGTCAAAGATGACAATGAGGGAGGACAAGAGGGGTCAGTAGCCCCAGAATGAACAGTGACTTGGACCGGCCTCGCCCCAGCTCCCTCACCCACCACGGAATCCCCTCTCACCTGCAAGTTGCACGTGGTGCCCTGCTTGAGGCAGAGGAGGGAGGGCACAGAAACAGACAGACTCTTCCAGGAGGACCAGGCGATGGGAGTTGAGGGACAAGCCAGCCCACAAGCACTGAGCCTACACTCTGCATATCCTGAGAGTGGCAGCCAGAGGGGCATGGAACTGGGGTGGGGGCAGGGAGGCTCCACGCTGGGTTCCTGAGCCACAGCAGGCCAGAGTGAAGGGGCTGCTGCGCTGCCCACCCTCCCCTCAGTGTCCATCTCCAGGTAAAGATACAAACTCACTTTCCCTCCACTACAATGCTTAGCTTCAAGGTAGAAGGGCGGCTCTCCCATACTGAGCTCTTTCCCCTACCCGTGCCAACTCAGCTTTCTCGTGTTCCTAACAACCTGGGGAGTTGTGAGCTATTAGCTTCATTTACTGAGGAGGCTCAGTGCCTTGTCCTGCTAGTGACTCGGCTGAACTGGGATTTGAATCCACGTGGTCTGATCCCCGAGCCCACACTGAGCTGCCTTTGTGCCCTTGTCAGCTCCTGCCTGTTGGAAGTGCTTTCCTACCCACTATTTCCTCTAATCCTGCAGAGTCCTGGGTGGCAGAGCCTGCTCTGGTCCCCTCTTAGAGGGGAGCACACTGAGAGACTTGTTAACCTGCCTTAGGTCTCACAGCTAGTCAGTGGCTGAGTCCCAATTCAGAGAACAGACCCGGGGCTCAGAGACCACGGGGCTTTGCACCATGTTTTTGTCAGCCTAGACCCTGGGCTGCCTCACTGTACACAGGAAAGGACAAGGAGCCAGTGTCAGTAGGGAGAAAGCCCAGCTGCCAACCAACCGGGCTGCCCAACCCCACTGTGAATCCCATTTGCCACCTGCTGTCACCCCAAGTCTACTCATGCGGAGGGGTGGGACCCCTGGGAGAGGTCACCTTATTTTACTGTGGCCTTGCAGAGGCCTTAGGAGCACTGGCTCTCTAAAGCGGGTTGCAATTACCCAGAACTCTGAGCTACTCAGAAGGACCCTCTGGCCTCAAACTTGACCTTAGCCAGGAGCTTTTCTCCACCCCCATGTCTCCCAAGAGTAGGGTCAGGATGAAAGGTTCACTGGGGCTGCTTGCTGCCCAGCAGCAAAGGTGGAGGCCAAGGGCTCTCCAGAGGGTGTGGAGGTCTGGAGGCATGCCTGGTGGAGAGGAGCACGGATGCCAAGGAGGCAGAAACCAGAGTTGAAACAGCTAAGTACCCATTGCTTGGGGAGGGGCGCATCCTGGCACACAGGGACCCCAATGAGGCCTCAGAACTGGCCCTTGGTGCTGGCGGGCATGATGGCTGCTTCCCTTTTGCAGGTGGGGACAATGAAGCTCAGAAGTTAAGTGACTTGCCCAAGATCACAGTTCTTGTAAGAGGTTTCTCTGACTCAGGAGACCATGCTCTTGACCTTGAGACTACTCTGCCTCTGTGTAGCCCAGTGGCTCAGGTCATAGACTGAATGATTGAATGGGGCAATAACACTCCACTACCCAGATCCATGCCCATCCCTGCTGTCCTCTGGGGTCTGCGTGTGACAGAGGTGACTGTAACACAACTCTGACTCCAGCCTGAATCTTGCCAACCCAGCTGTGACAGGTGGGGTAGGAGCAGGGAGAGAAGTGCTCTTCATGCACCCATCTGTTTTCTTCTGAAATCCTCTACATGAACTGCATTTTTCTTCATTTCCAGCAAATAGGCACTTGCAAGCCAGGCTGTCCCATAGCATAAAAGCAGCAGCACTGGATTCAGGGAGGCCAAGTTCAAATCCTATCTCAACCCCTCATTAGACCAGGGACCTTGGGAAAGACATACTCCCCAAAGACACAAATTGGATCTGGAATTATACATAAATCTCCTGAACTTAAAATGCTGGCAACTGATTTAGATATTTAAAACACTTAGAGAGGGCCAAACTAAACACATCTGTGGGCCAGAATCAGCTGGTGAGTGAAGGAGAGCAACATAAAGCCCTTAGCACAGTGGCTGGCATTCAATATGGGTGCTGGTTATTAATACCACAGCAGACTTGGGCCAGGTGAACAATTCTACCAGCAGCCACCTGAAGGCCTCCTCAGCAAGGCAGTGAGCTGTGCAGTAAGGAAGGTCCCTGACAACAGGACCCCTTGACTGCCAGGATCTCTTCCTACTGCTGTTTCCTGCTGCCCAGGACCAGTGTGACCTGTCAGCACGCAGACCTGCACCCCACCCTCAGCCAGCTCCTCCATGAAACACCCCAGAGTCCTCCTGGACAGTGTGTTATTATGGGAGCAGATTTTGCGGTGGCTTAATTGGAATAATAACTAGGCTTCAGAGGGAAACCACTGCTTTGCTTCTTTTCTTTGAACCAAGTCTGTTCGAAAGGTCTCCCTGCCTCAGGTAAGCCTCTTCTCAGTGGCCAATGAAGCCTCAAATGAGGCCTGGCCTCCCCTGCAGGACAAGGCTTTGCCCCATGATGTCCCCCTCCAACCCAGCACAGAGGACACGGAGGATTCTTACCAAAGCTGAAATCCGGGGCTACACATGCAGGTGGGGGATGGGGGTGCCAAGACTTGACCTTGGCCTCCCGTTTTTCCTCTCTGCTGGCTCCCCTAACCTCTCCCAAAGCAAGGTCTGCCCTGGGAGAATATTCAGGGTCATGAGGCACTTATTTTTAGGGACAGGAAGTACCACAAAGGAGACTCTGGGAAAGAAGTGTCCCCTTTTCCTGCCATTGCCACCAGTCTGCTTGCACTCCTACACCTTCCCCAGCTATGGAGAAACTCTCCTCTGAGAGTGTGGATGTCCTAGGGTCGCCTCAGTAAGCAGCCTTGCTGTGGCTCCTCCACCCCACCGCTGACCCTTGGCAAGTGCAGTGGGTGCTCCCTCCAGAACACATGGAGAATCCAGCCACCTTCCCCATCTTTACTGCTTCCACGCTGGTCCAGGCCAGTCTCATCTCTCGCAGGACTCCTCATTCATCTCCCAACTTCCACTACTGCTCCCTTATAATTCAGGATCCACACAGTAGCCAGAATGATCTTCAGAAAACATACATCAGATCATGTCATATGTCCTATTTGAAATCTTTCACAGGCTTCCTGTTGATCAAGGGCAAAACTCAAACTTCTAACCATAAGACTTTATATGATCTGGTCCCTGCCTACTGCATATTGACCACCAGCCCGTTTCCTACCACTTCCCAGTCAAACCAGCCTCCTTTCATTTCCTGAAACAGACAGTCCATGCCATCAGACCTGTGCACAGGTGTGCTCTATGCCTGTAATGGTCTACACAATCTAGGCATCTCTGACCTTTCATCCTTCAGGTTTTGGCTTAAACATCACAAAGGTCTATGCCAGCTGCCTTATCTACAGAAAGCCCACCACCCAGTTACTCAGCTTCTTTAGAAGTGTCTGTTGAGCTACTTGTTGAATGTCCTTCTCCTTCAGAGTATATGTTTCACAACAAGAAAAAGTGTAACTGTTTGGATCCTTGCTGGTGCCCAGTACCCCTTCGAGTTGTACCTAGCACATGACAAGAGTTTGGTGCACACTCAGTGCTGAGTGTGCTCTTGTCCCCTCCCCCCAGAAGTGTGGGGCCACACAGCCCAGCAGCCTGCTCACAGCCTATGGGAGCAAACACCCCAGCCCCAGATTTCGACCTGTTTGCACAGCCCGCCTTCCCCGTCTTAACCTCACACGTTTTCCAAGAGGCTTTATTTGGTTGGGCTCCTGGCTAATGATCAATGTCAACTCAGTAATAGGGCAGCAATTTGGTGGCAGATGTTTTCTTGGCAGCACTAGCCACTGGTCTTAGTGGGGACCTCAGGTCTGGACTTGAAACACCAATGCCCAATGCCAGCCCCCTTTAAAGACCTCTCCGCAAATAAACTCAAATAAACACCCTGGGCCTCCATTAACGCCCCTCCAGCTGACCCTGGAAACAGTGGGTCTTTCAGGCCTGCTACTGCAGCAGCTCCCTGGGCAGTTAAAACAGCCCAACCTGGCCTCCGGCCTCTCCTCTCTGGGGGCCACCAGGCCTGCCCAGCCTGCCACCACACACAGCAGGATTTCGTCTTCCTCCTTTAAAAAGGGGAGGAAAAGGCTTTCAAGCAGGCAATTTACCATTCCAGACACAATCTTTCAAAGAGAAACAAAAACTCTCCCTGTCTGAGGCAGACCGCTAAGGCGTGTGTGTAATAAGATGCTAATACAATTTAATGATATTTCGGCTGGAAAACCTGTCCTCAGAGCCTGCTTGTGTCGGGAAGGCCAGACATTCAGAAAACAAGAGCTGCATACTCTTAAACCGTTTTAAATGGGGGTCAGAGCCCCACTCTTTCCTATCTCTCATTAACTTTAATGCCTTCTCAGGGACAGTAACTGCTGTGACAACAGTGATTTTGTACACACAGATCCTCAGACTTGCTTCTCCAATCACAGGGAATCCTAACCCTCCTCCAACACCCATCACTGCTAGCCTGTCCCGGGGGCACCCAGCTCCCCTAGAACACACTCTCCACACCCACCCTCCAGACCCAGTTCTGAGGACATGCCAAGGGGATCCTTGGAGACAGAAAGGGGCTTTGTCTACTTTGTCCTTCAGCACCTTCGCACCCTACCCTCCACCACAGAGA